TTTATATATGTGCAGTCGAGTATAAGAGCACGAATTCTGAATTCTCAAAGAGAAACTTGTGTACGCGAGTCGTCTTCTCCATACTTCATGACTAGCTTTTCCCTACGAGGCTACAAACTTACGCGCCCGAATTTCACGTGTACTTTCCCTCGTTGCGCAGTTAAAGCATGATTTGCCTGTAAGATATATACCAGTAGTTGATTGAAGCTCTTGTAATATTCATTGGGCCACGCAGCAGCACAGAAGCTTCTTCTACTAACATAAAATTGAACTTCTGGGACTTGTAATCAACAAAATGAAATTTGAAAGTTTGCTTTTTACCTAATCATTCCGTTTGGCTATCCTAATCTAGTATTTATGAGCAAAGTTTATTTGAGAATGCTTGGATATTTTTACAGAATCGTCTTAGATTCTTGTGGAAAGTCGTAGCACATTCGTATAATAGTAATAGGCACTAGTGATTTTTCATTGTTCAGGAAGGTTCGTTACAGTCCACTTACGTAGCAGTAGCTAACGTATAAGGTTGGGTGACGCCAAGCAAGCACAAAACCACAATCAGCCGGCGAGACTGCAGGACTGCCAGGCTTCCCGTATTTCGCTAATTGTCGCGGCTCATTGGCGAGTATCCAGACGCTTTTCGGTGGAGAGAGGCAGGCAGCCCTCGTGAATGCGAGTCATTAACGTACTTAAAAGTCCTCTTGAATTCCCGAGGCAGCCGCTACTATATGTACACTATATATATCGCGCGGCTCGAAGACAGAGACGTGATGCGCAGCCCGAGTCGAGGCTAGAATCGCTAAGCGACGACGCGCGAGCAGAGAGGCGCCGTAATTGCAGCTGCTGCTACTGCTGCTGAGAGGGAATGCATTCCCTTCGCGAAATCGCAAATGGCCGCTGCAATTACCACTGGCGAGTGATTGCGTCTGCTTCCGCGTGCGCGCGCTTGTTTGCGTCCACTTCCGTGGGTTTTCCACTCTTCCGAATGAGATGCTTCGCCGGCGTGGAACATTGCCCTGTCAACTGATTATTATACAATATTTCATAATGCGCTTCAGCATTGTAATTTTATCCTGTAACTATTTCATTGCCCATTGGCTAGTAAACATGATTTGATTTTCGTAATCTCATGCTTATAACTTTGTACTCACTTTAACTCCATTCAGCTTTCCGCACGTCTCTATTTAAGCAGTTCAAGTGTATAAGGTTTAATGGGGTAATCAAAGTAAGTAGCTGACAAAGCATCGATGCCGGAGAAGAACAAAGGAGTTGCTATAGAGCAAAACTCAGTGAAGTTTCATTGAGCTCTTAATTCTTCACTTCCAGCCTTCAAAGGTAGTCCAAGTACGCATACGTGCGCCCAAAAGTCGTTATCAACTAATTGAAGGGCATCTCCGGCTGAAATTACAATGGCCTCTTCTTTCGTCTTTCGCTGCTTTCAATTGTACGCACCATTCCATAATTTTCTACTGATTTTCTGGAAAAATATGAATAGACCTTTACTCAAGTTTATATCTCTTAATTATGGCTTTTAAAAAGATAATAAGATATTTATTTTGATTGTAAAGAGTACGTTATTACTCTTGTGAAAATCTATTCCATAAAAAATTGCCTTAACGCATCTCTTTTCACGCTTCGATGCAAGGTCTTTACTTAAGCTCAGCACGTACATAAATACCAATAGAAAAAGTACATTTTTCTGGCCGCCATTGCTATTGCTGCAGGTGTGCGTGCTCCTCGTTTTCTAGATGCACCTACGGGAATACAGAGAGAGAGAGAGAGAGCGCGCACATCTTGTATTCTTGAAACGTGCTGGTCGGTCGCGCGATTGTCAGTCACAGACAAACAGAAATAAGGTCAAGCACGCGCGTGCGGATGATTTGCCGATGAATTTCCGAAAGTCCCTGTGAAAAATTCTCTTTTACAGGATAATGGACCTTTCGGTGCATTATAACCAAAATAAATGTTTATATTTTTGTTTATGGCTCATAATTCTCTTGCTGCAGATGTATTGTATGGAAATTGAACAAGAAATGGTGGCAGAACCGGCAACGGTTTTGAAACTGGAAAAACTTAAATGTATAATGAAATGATAGTGAAAATATATCGAGTTTTATTAATAAAATGGCTTCATTGATAATTTATTTAAAATATACGAGCCAATTATTTCAATGAATTTTAACTCATTTCATTGCAAAAAAAAATTCATACTTATCCTCTTGTCACTTCATTATATGATTCCAAGAGGAATCAAAACCATTAAACGCATATTAAATTTCACTCGAAAATTCACTCCACCCTTGTTACGTTAAAGTACAAGCGCGGTCTCTTAAAACGCAGGAGAAATCACCAAGATAAAGGATAGATTTGCCAAGTCGCGTAATATCATTTTTGACGGGTCGCGAAAATCGAGTTCATAAAATTAGAGCGTCGTGACGTTATTAAACTTTTCCTCCGCGTGCAAAGCCCCGACTAAGTAACGTCCGCGCGCTCATGGCGCCTTTGAGAGCGTCATAAATGCAATTGCGCCTCGTTGCGCGAACGGGCGTGTTCCACTTTTTTCTCTCTTTCTCTCTCTCTCTTTTCCTTTCTATACACGAGAGGGAGAAATCCTCAGTTCTCGCGTAACTACCTCTCTGCGCGCAAGCGTTTCTTCATCGGGAAATGGCTAAGGCCTTATTTCTGATTGGGGCGCTTTTTTATTTTTAAATTGAGCAACGCAGCAAGAGAACAAACAATTACGACGTCTGTCGCTTAACGCGACTAAGCTTAATCCTTGGGATTTATGAAGAAAAATATAAAAGACGCGCGGACAAGACAAACTGTAGCTTCTTGGCGAAAGGAGGGAAGGCGATAGGAGATGAGCAGTAAGAGAAAGACGTGCAGCTGCAAAACTTTCCAGTCGCTTCCTCGGCTCTATCTCGTTAAGCGAGGATTTGGCGGTTCCTCGAACGGGATAATGAGGAATACCTCAGACTATCTGTTACGGCGAGTGCCTATGAAACGCTTTTGCTCTAGGCAATTATGACTGGATTTATTACCATCCGACTGAAAAAGTACCGGGAAGCAGGTGTCTTGTAAGGAGCTAGACAAAGTAGGCTTAAGATAAATAAAATCTTGATGGATTACTCAATCCTCAAAGTACACTCGATTTTTCAAATTATACAACTCTGTAGATATACGTAATTGCATGATTTTGAAATAAAATACTATTGCGTAACAAATACTTTACATACTAATGAGTCAAAAATTAATCAATAACGAAACTATCAATTCGATAGTACGACGATAGAACTGTTATTTATACAAGTGTGCCTAGACGATTGCATTGTAGTATCTATGCAGAGTAATTGATCACTATTCAAACAATCATACATAGACATTTGGATTATGTATAAATTGCAGAATAATTTATCATTCTTATAAGCTTTGTATTTCACTGCAGATTTTTTACAGGATTTTTAAAAACACCGACAATAATTGATATTCATCACGTCGCAGTCACATTTAACGTATGAAAAAGTCTCGTCTTTGGAAACATGATCTGATTTATTTTCAATTCTTTTTTATCTTCCACGGATAACGTGCTACTTCAATATACATAACCCTACTCAACGTCGGCCATATCAAAAGAATCCGCCAAAAAATATCGCCGGTATACTATGATTTGCGCAGGGACTATACAGTGCAAGTGGTATATGCGTATATCGCGTCAGCCATAGAGAGTCAGACGAACAAGCTCTTGTATCGCGCTTGCTTTAATATTCGCTGGTTCGCAGCGTAATGCACCACTCAGTCGCGTCATATGACTGCGAACACTAGCACGTTTAACCGTTCTAGGCTCAATGATTAAAGCGACTCACCACGTCAAAGGCTAGTTGACAATTGTGCAGAGTGGTGCAAAAACCGTTGGAAACGAAAAGAGGTACTTGTAGCTTTATACTAACAAAGAAATTTTCTGCGCTTTTACAGTTTGTTTCACTATCCAGGAGAACTACATAGTTTTTATCCAATATGCCACATTCCCATGTTAAAGAAACCGCAACAATGCCGAATGCGTTGCAATTCTTCAATAAATTTTCCTCTTTTCCCAGGCCGTTGGTGAGAAAAATAAAAGCGTTTATCTTATTGGGATGCAAGCCGCGTAAGTAAATGTCATTGGCGGTACACACGAGTGTAACGTTCGTCGCGGGGGGTGCGAATAGAACCGTCTTTCCCCGTGTGAATGATGCATCAGGCTGTGCGTTCGTAATGCTGATCACGTACGTGGCTTCGCGCAGTCTACCCGTGAGAAGCCTCGAATCTAGCGATTGATTTCTTTGTTTTTCAAATGGAAGACTACCAAAAAAAAGAATGCCAACTAATGGCTGTTGTGCTCTAACAATGCTGCGGCTAGAAAATCCATCGTTTCAGAACAACAATTTCGCTGTACCTAGTTATAGAATGGATTTTGTGGAAATGCGAAAACTTTCATAAGCTACGGAATCGTTATAATGGATTTTGAGTCACATATATGCGTTGTTATATGGAGTTCGGACTCGAATGATTTTAACGAATCTCTTTTAATTGTCAAGCTTTTCACTGAGTCGCTATAAGTTTTTGCTTCGTTAAAAAGTCAATTCCACACAAACCCCAGGAATGAATATATACTCGCTCGTAAAGTTACGTCAGTCTGAAACTTTATTGAGAGCTTTATCAATGCAAATGAGTTGAATGTAACATTATTTTTTTGTTCGTGTAGTATGAATAGAATGTAGACTATTCGAGTATTTCAGTCGATAATACTTTTTAAAAATGTTTTACGGATAATACAAGATTTTATTTCAGAGTAAAAAAGAACTTATGAATAGAAATATTAATCGATAGTCTCCTTGTTTCGCTAATCTAGAAGATAATTTTCTCTTGACTTACGGGAACAAATATACTTTCATATCGTTCATATATGTGCATATATGGAGAAAATAACATTCTCTAGATACAATTATTTACGGGTTTGATTGCAGATTCAGATAGAAGAAGGCGATAATGAAAGTGCTGGACTCGCGAGACTGGCAACGACGAGGTAGAAGTTACCGGCGGCGATCGATTCGAGGATGAGGTGCCGATCGACGAGGAGGGCCGCCGACTAATGCTCGTTAACATGCCGGCCCTCACACTCATCCTTGCTCTTCTCGCCGTCACGCCCACCACCTATGGACTTGATCTTGGTGAGTTGAAGCTATTATTCTTTTTTTTCTCTCCACTTCGGTACTTTGTTCCTTTTTTTTTCTTCGCTGAAAGCAAGGTATTATAATTATAAACGTAAAATGTTTCAAAGAAATTATTTATTCATAAAAAGTCTTAAGATAATATTAGATTATCATTACTTAAATTTAATAAATGAGAATATACATTACTAGAACGAGGAATAAATATTTTAGAGGTATTATAATAGAACATGATTAAAAAATTTTTTCCAATAATAATAATACCAACACGGAGTATAAAATGAAATGAAATTATAAATATTTAATATGAAAAACTACGAAAAAAATGTTCATTAAACACAAGAATAGAAATCCGTTTTAAAATGCAAATAATATTCGCACGTCTATGAAAACTGAATTTGCCAGTTTGACCGGCAACACACTCGAAGTACTTAGCATATTTGCTTCTACATTATATTTCCGCCGCGCGCGCGAGCTCGTCACTTGATTTTACCGTCCCCGTCATAAAGCACTTGAACATGTCGACAGACTTACTTCGAATTTATTACGAAATTCTCGGCAGTGTTGTATGATACTGAGAATTTTACTAGCACCATAAACAGCGAGTTTTCATTGCCCCTATATAAATTACAGTTAGTAAAATTTTTAACGTACTTTCAAAACTTGTGCGTCCGCTGAGTATTCTGAAAAATGAAAATTTTGATGATTTTTCTTTTTTAAGCCAAACTTTTTCCGTTATTGAATTCAAAACATTGTTATACAAGTACAAAAAACCCAACGAAAATTGTTAGAAAACAAGGAAAACGACGAATAAAATAAATAGGTTAGATAAGACAGATATTTATTCAAGATATCGAGGTTACGTTGACATATTTGTCTGGAGAAACATCTACTATCAGGCTCGCAGCTCCTCGTAAGAACAGTCTGTAAACATGGAGACGGAGCGTCGATCTACCGAAGCCTATAACCTATAGCCGTGGAATACGTCGGAAAGCAGCTGTATATAACAGCTTTCTCCGTTCCCGACAACGAAACGTATTGCGCTTGTCTTCAAAGTTCGCACGCAAACTTAGACGGTACATTTTCCACTTAGAGGAACATCCAATATCGTCACGATTTCTCTCTTCGTATGCGTCAATATATCCGACCTTTATTTTTCTATATTTTCACTTAAATTCCAATTCAGCCGTTTGCTTGAGCTTTTAGATCTTAGATTTCCAATGTATTTACACTTTTCAAGTACACATTTTTATTTCGATATGATCGCGGAATTTATTTATTTGTCATTTGTAATACTTCAATTCCAACACTGTAAGAAATTTTGTTTTAAAATTTTTAAATTAAATTGCAAAATAAATCATTTATTGACCTATGCTGTATCAAAAAATTAATAATATTGCTCAAATTAAAACAATTATCACCGTAGTTGAGTGATTGATTATTTAAAAAAGAAATTAAAGCGTAATGTGATGAAATCAAAAAACCTTTTTCTTCTTTTGAGTGATGGTTTCACTTTATTTTCAAATTAGTAAAAAGTTATTCAAAATAAAAATAAATTCCTCCAATTAAACAATTCTTTAATTTTTACTACTCAAAAAAGAATTAAATAAAAGAAGTTACAAGGATAAAGTCACATCTACATAAAAGTGAAACTGTTTAAGGAATAACGAATACCTTCATATTGTATTTATTAATATAATAAAACTGTAAGTTGATAAAACACGAAATTAAAGGAATTCGTCTTTTGACCACGATGGAACACGTAAGCGATAATTTTTCTTAAATTCCTCAAATAATTTTGCCCGTTTATCCTCTACTCATCAGCATTCCTTGGCTTGGCAATATCATAAGAGACGCGAGCGCGACGACGACATACAAAGCTCGTGAGAATCAGACGCGATGCGCCATGCCACCAGTAGAGAGGACATTGTGTTTCTGTTATGGCGTAAATGAAATGTCAAGCGCACCCTTGAATTAACAATACTATCTAATGGTCTTTCAAAACCAGAAGCACGTTGCGCGTGTCAGAGCGAACCTTTCGTTATGGTCCTTCATTTTGCTTACTCCTTGGATCTCTCGCCGCCATCTCTTTTTACCTCTCTCACCATGAGATTTTCGCTCTTTGTATCAGATATGCCATCCTCTGTGAATATCTTTGCTTTACTATATTGGTAGAAATTTCGCTCCAACAACTATTATTTCAGCAAGGATTGCTCATTGAAAATTATCTTGAAAATGATCGTGAATTATTTACATCATAGAATGATTCACTAGTTTCATTTGGAAATGACTTCATATGTTATTATGTTTCGAAATATTTTATTTTATTGACTGATTGATTGATCAAAACATTGACCGTTGATGCTACGATCTTCCTTTACTACTGCTTTATTATTATACAATTGAAACATTTTACTGCTATAAAATATTTCATCTCGTGTTTTCGAAACTCTAGACAATCATCTAAACTCTAGAGATACGAATTCGGTAATCCATAGCCATCAAATTCAACTGCACGTAGTTAAATTCGAAAAGCTAGCTAAAACTTTTGATAATGTTTGATAAGCCTAGCAACTTCAACTCTCTCAAAATACATCAAATAGGCGCAGTGCACGAAACTACTAGCATTAGATTGAGAGTAAAATGGGGGGGGGGGGGGAGAAAAGAGAGTGGATTGTCGCTGGCGCAGTAAAACAGAGCAAACACGAGTAGTGGGTTAGCGTAACGATGCTCGGGGTGATTTAACTTGAAACGAACGCAGGCCGGCCCACATAATTCACCTTTGCCCTGGGAGTTTGTCCCAGTAATGCGCAGACTAAGGCGGACACTGAGTTTACGCAAAAGGCACATACACTCACACACACACACACATACACACCGAGAGCTAACTCCGTTTAGCGACCGCTAGCCTGGCTATTTTTATACTCACGCGTCCGGCTAATCCGACATCCGGTAAATTGTGCAGTTTTGAAACTTTGCCACAGTGCCGCCATAAACGAGCTGGAGCTTAAATGCTGTACGGCTTAGTTGCCTACTGGTGTAACGCAATGAATTGCCATTTGCACCAGCTTGCTGACGTTTTTATATACGCGATCGTTTGCGTAATTTTTTTACTTAATTACCTGTATCGAGATTTTTATTCAAATTATTTTCAACGTTGTAGTTAGTATGTATTAAATATTTAAACGTCGGTTGTGAAAAAATATTATTTAGATATATAGTTGATCTAGAAACTTGCGGACGACTCACTTTTAATTAGTTTAAACTGCACTATTTTAACGAAAAACTACGTATCATCGAATTCTTTATTAGTTAGGAGTTCTGACGTTCGTTTATTTGATTATGAATTCTAGTTATTCACACATTTATAAGCATATCTAAGTATAGCGAGCTTTTCAAAGAACTTTTCAAATGACAATTCGAGATGACAGTATAATTATATTATTATTTGCATTATTTGATTAAAATCCATATCTGCAGACGGCTTCTAAATTGAAAAAGACGATATAATTATAAATAATCTCACGTGCTTTAATACAATCGATCGACAGAGTTATAACTATTCTACAGTGTTGCCTTCCTTCGAGAACTCGCCGCAAGGAAATTCCCTGTCGAAAGTCAAAGTGTTTTTATCGAGAAATCGCACAATTGTTTCAGGACAATGCACGACGGCGTTGGGCATGGAGAGCGGCGAAATACCAGACGAAGACATCACAGCGAGCTCGATGTACGATCCAACCCTCGGGCCAAAACACGCCAGGTACGTTTGTATATACATACGCAAAATTTCAACAACAATCATATCAGCGGCACGTCGAGTCTCGAGTGAATTGAAATACATGCGCGCCGAAAGGCTGATGGACGTGGTGCGGCGATACACGGGTTTAATGCTTCGCTGAATACGTATCGGCCGAGCTGAATATTGCTGTCTAGATAAGTTTCATGTCGCTCTTCGCATATGCCGTTTAGGACCTCTACTGCTTTTCAACGACGTTTATTTGCCGGCGAGTCTTTGAATTCTGCTCTTCTTTTGCTCGCTCGCTATCATCGTTTTTCTTTAAATACTTTTATTTAACCGGGTTTAAGAAAACTTTTTTTTCGTTTTCAATTGATTCGAGTGCACGAAAGATTTAAAGAGAAGAGCATACGTACAATCTTTGAGAGACGATTTTTCGGAAACTTGACCTGATTTATGCCTATAAGTTTTTTGAATAACATCGGAATAGAATAGATGAGAGCGGAGAAAAAAAACAGCAAATTGCATCGCCTTGAGACGTCTAATGGAGAAGGAGAAACACGTTAGAGCTACATCTACAAATTGCCTCCGATTTCCACGGGGCACCTCTGCATAATACCTGTATTAGAGCCGCGAGCTTGGGGGTCTTACGCGGCAATAAATCTGTATTAGGTCGACTGGGCTCTGGTGAATTCGTATTCAGCGAAATTTCCGTATTTTTTTCCTTTCTTTACCTTCCTCAAATCCCACTCTCTCTCTCTCTCTCTCTCTCTCTCTCTCTCTCTCTCTCTCTCTCTCTCTCTCTCTCTCTTGACTTTAGCAGCGCGATAACGTCGAGCGCTTGAAAACAACGTTAAAAATTACGCGGCTAACGGAAGCGAGAATGATGCATGAGCGAGTCTTGAGAGAGAAACGAGAAGTAATTGTGTTTACGTCTTGCAGCGGGCTAGCTATATAATCTAGACTACGCGGGCACGTTCTCGGAGTGAAGAAAAAAAGAACGAGATGAGATGAAACAAACGTTATTTGAAACGTGCACGGAGCATTCGTAATTTGCAGCATTTCGTCAGATGCAATTACACGGTATAATTATGCGCTGCGTCGAGAGAGAGATAATGCGGTTTAGCCTGGGTTTGCAAAAGTTATAAGAGTGAAAGAAAAAAAAATTAGCACGTCCTATTGGTCGTGCTAAATCGTCTAATAAATCGAGATCCGCTTGTACTCATTACTCTATAAGTACTAACGGGAGTAATCAGATCAAAGGAACAGAAACAGAGCTGCATGTCTTGAAGGAAGAGAATAACAGCCGCGCGCTCTGGTTAGCGATCGATAACGTTCGGTACAGTTAGCATTTGAGAGGATAGCATTTGATAATAGCATTTGCTATATATACATACATTCACGTCTACCATGGAAACATGAGAAACTTTTTGAGCAAGTCCCGAGTGGCCATTCGCATCGCTTTAGCCGAAAATGGGATTGAAAGCAACAAGCGCATTGAAAATTCGACAAAGCGCGCGCAAGGGGGGCTAGGAAAAGAGAAAAGGCTTGACGGGTCAGCAGAGTCTAAAGGGAAGTCGTAGAGGGTTCAAAGGGAAACGCTTTACACCAAAGAAGGGTGAGAGGGATGTATCTCGATGAAATAGATACAAGTTTCTGATAAGTGTAGGCAAAGATTAACGTGAAAAATCAAAGTACATACATCAAATACATTGGAGATTATCTTGAATATAATTATCTCTGCTGGAAATGTTGCTATTCGCAATCGTATTTATAAATACTTATCAATCATTCAATAAAAGCAACTTGAGCTCAAAGTTTCAATTAAAAATTGCAGTACAGCGATGGGTGTTCAACTTCAATTTCAGCTTTAATTTGAGCGTCGAGTACAACGAAGAATGTAACGCGTGCGGACAAAGCAGAAATAAAATGAAACTTGCGCGTCCGCGTCTGCGTGCTCATGTGTGTGAGTGTGTATGAGGAAGAGAGTGTGTATGAGCATTAGAAATGAAGAGTTCTGTGGGAGAGCTACTGGTGCGAAGAGAGAGTTTGAGACAAAAGCCGGAAAGCGCAAACGAGAGAGAAAAAACGTCGTGGCCAAAGAGGATGGAAGAATTGTGCTCGCAGAAGTATTGCGCGCATGATACGTTTACTCGGTGACTTTCAGACTTGAGCTCGAGAAAACTAGAGAGAGAAAATCGGGGGGAAGGTGAGAGGGAGATTGAATGCGCCTGAAGGCTTTTTTCCTCTCTCCCTCCCCCCTTCCTCTTGTTATGGCTCAAAAACGGCGTACGCGATTTCAGTCGTTCGCTCTCCCTTTTCGCACGCCCTTTATTCCCTCGGCGCTTTTGCCTTGCACACTTGCTCTTTTGTGCCATTTCATACACCCTTTCGTATATTAGCTTTTTTTCCTCTCAATCTCGCTTTCGACAGCTTCGTCGTGAGAGTTCCACCGTTGCGGCTCTTTCGTTGTATTTACGATTCGCACTGCGAAAAGAAATTAGCCAGTAGAACATTTATTCGAAGTTGTAGCAATCGAAAGATTCCTTGCTTTGAGTTTATTGATGAAAAGAAGCAAAGTCTGAGCTTACTTGTTTTATTATCTCTCTACATCGCCTGCCTTTCAATTTTCCAGTCGTGGTTGCTCATTTACACGGCATTTACCTTTTATACACGTCTTTCACCAACGATGGCGCGTGTTACACCTGAGTGATTTATAACTGAGGGAGGTTCGCGTATCACGCAAATAGCTCGCGACACGGTCACCTACCTCAAAGATTTATCATCGTTCGCGCTTCCCCGAAATACTCTCACGCGCTGCCGCTAGTAATACTGTTTCATTGAGTTTTTTTTCCGAGTGATGTCACCCGTTGACTTTGTGATAATTCACATTGAATTTTTTATAAGCTTTTCAAATTCAATTTTTTCAAATTGCAATAGCTTTTCAGCCGAATGAGAAGAATAAATCTTAACTTGCACTACTACTATTACTTACAACAATCTTTTGCGAAAAAAATATTGAAAACGAATAATACATCAAGCGTTAAAGCTTTGAAATAATACTCCACTTCTATTAATTTATGAATTGCCGAGCTACCATCAAAAGCAAAGCAAACAGTATAACTGATTGAACTTGTAAAAGCCAATGCGGCTCGTTTGTCTCTTGCGTGAAGTATTATCATCAGTAAAAGCCGCCCTAACAATGTGAACACATCAAAGTGCGTGCTTTTTCTGAAAGTGGTGGTACGTTCATTTAGACGAGAAAGAGAGAAAGTGCGAGGGCGCAAGAAGCTTGGAATTCTTTTGATAACAAAACTCGCATTGCCCCTGAGAAAAAGACGCGAGAAGATGAAAGTGGCCGCGAGCCGAGCGCAACTTGAAAATACGTGTTTTTCGGAACGCTAAGCTTTCTCCTTCTACCGTAACTAGCACCGGTACAAACTCTTTTTCTGCCCGAGAGCTTTCTTATTTGCAGCTAATTCTTTATTCACGTGGTCTGATCTTTTCCTCCGGTTCCGCAGGTTAAGCCATTGCCTATTTTAGAGAGGTCTTTCAACAAATAAAATTATATTTTTAGCAGTTGTTAAAAACGTCGAATTTTGCAATTTAGACTCCTTATTGATAATTAAACTGTTAGTATCAATCATTGAATTTGTGATTAACGTAATTGAACTTTTCTCATCAAAAATAATTGGATCATAAATTATCGACAGTCCGAAAATACCAAAGTTGCAGGATAACCATTCTCATGTTACGATTACTCGCTCGTTCGAATGATAGCATCATCTGTAGGGAGAGATTTTATAATGAAATCGGTTATATTATCCCGGCGTATTCTGAATGACCGTCAATGGATCGATTTCTTGTAGTTTGAAATGCAACGGTACCATGCGGTACAAAATATCAAATAACTAAATTAACTAATATTCGCAGATTCTAAAGTAGATTTCTTAAATACAAAATTACATGGATCCAAAGCAGATAAAATAATACATCTCTTATCATCCAGAATTTAAAAGAACAATACGTAGCCAGCATAATCCGACCAAATAGCAGGAGCATCGAGCGCGCGCAGCACCGCTTCCATGTATGCAAAGCAGTCGAATCAAAATTCAAAACGTCAGCCTTTTTTTTATCCAAGCGTAAAACTATTCGTGAGCACATTGTTACGCCGTTGTATATCTCGTCTCTTGTGCACAAAAATGAAGCATAAACGCGCAAGTAGGAGAGCAGATAAGCGCGCGTTACTGCTACTATCACTGTGCACAAAGGTGAAAAGTGGGTCGTCGGTCGGACAAAAAAAAAGAATGTCAGTTGGCCCGTATTTTCTAGCACGTGTATGCATGCAAGTTCGCGAGGTTTGCGAAAAATAAGAATTTGATAAAAATATAGAGCTGCCGTTGCTACCGCCACGTGCAAGAGGGAAAGGGAACGGTTTTTATCTGGGCTGTTTGTCATGTTACCTACTGTTTTAATTTTTTTATTTTTTTTGCTGCTGCTGCTGCTTTAACTGACACAACGGCTCAGTAATAGTAGATGTATTTGTGTTTTATTCATAAATTAATCATTGTTTTACATAACATAATACATTAGAGTCACGGTAGTCCAGTGGGAAAGAACTGAATCCTGTGTGGAAGAATTCGCGAGGTCAAGCCCTAAACGTATGAAAATTTTCAGAAATTACATTTTAATATACTTGTTATTGCGATTAACCTGTATGTCCAGTCTCGATCCATGTAAAAATTCTGCTCCCATAGTCTTCCCGAATGGTGGCGAAGACTGATTACATGCCTCTCACAACTATAGGAAACCGATAATATAATGTATATAGGTACATAGTATACTTCTACAGCGTCCAAAACAAACGTATGTTATTTTTTATTTTTGAGTAATTGTATAAAAATGCACTATAAACATCACATAAACAAAGCTACGTATTTAAGAATAAAAGACTCAAATCGACATCAATCAATTTTTCGGGGTTTTGTTGTTTAGAAACGAAAACAGATATAAATAACTTTTTCTATCGTTGTATTACAGGTGAATATAAAATCATCTGCATATAAAACAATATATATTTTTTATAAATTTTCTTTTCTGAAAACATGGATGAGAGATTTTCGAGCGCAGAGAAAAAATTCTAAAATTTTTTACGTAAATTCCACTGCCGGATGTTCATAAATTGTTAAAATATTTATACTTTCTTTAAATGTTAAAATATTTAAACGTAAGCAACAAACATAAAAATATTACTTGCCAAAAAAATAAAACAAGAACAAACAAATATTTGTGACGGTTCGAGTATTTCGAAAAATCTGAAATCGCCAAGCCAGCGAAAAATTTCTCTTTCTCTTTTGCCCTGTATAGACGAAACACTCACGGCATGTATCCACTTCTTCCTGGCGTTTTTTTTTGTCATACCGCGAGGACAGGCGAAGCTACAGCCACGATAACGAAAATCGATTTCATTCACTTCCGTTCTCTCGCGTATCGCAAGCGCGCTGCATGCGCTTCACTCTCCCTCCGTACGTGCGAATGTTGCCAGTCGATTTCACTCGGTGATGTGAGCGTGCGTACATTGGCCGCACCCAGGTGCGCACGCTTGTAACGTCACGCTGCTTGATAATGGGGTCACGTGTGCGTATGCATACTACGTGACGAACGCCACAAATAAAATTCAATGTAAATTATTTCTATTTGGAAATCTGATTATACGGCATTCCTGTAAATACAGATGAAATCGTGACCACCATTTGCAATGCATTCGAAGAGGGCGTTTCTTTATTTACAAATAGTAGAGAACTTTTTTGAGAAAAATACTCTTCGTTTGTCCTTTGACAGTGGGTATGAATAAATTGAAATATCAAAAGCATCAGCTAAAAGCTATTCGAAAAATAATGCAAAACGGATGAAAAACGAACAGAGCACGAATGAAAGAGAATGAAGCTAAAGGTTAGAGTTCTCTTGTCGAGTATATGCCGAGTATATGAATAAACGAGAAAGAATTTTTACAGATCATTTAGCCAATGGCATATTTGCCATTGTGCATTTTTGGAATGTAGGAAAGAGATCGCTGCGAAAATACAGCGTGGACTTATATTTTGTTAGCCACTCTTAAATGCTGTTGGTGGCCCCAACTGAAACGTTTGTTTGACTGCTGATCTGCTTCGACGGTTAATTTAATTGAATTTGATCAATACTCCTATTGTGCGAGAAATTAATTTTGTTTTTTCCCTCAATATTCGAATAAGAATTAATATTAATGTGCAAATAAGAATAATAAGTAGCTAGAGGCTTGGAAATCTTGAAGGAAACCTATAGCTTATCCACGACTAAACAGTAGTAGATTTACCAATGACAGAGCATGTCATATGCCATTATAGCCATTATTCTAGAATAATTGCAGTTGGAATTAATCTCTGTCAAATTCTAAGGATACTATTTATCTCGACCTCGATGATTATCTTAATGAGGTAATGTACTTGAACTCATCTTCATAATGAGGATATTATGAAAAATGCAATCACGTTTTATTCTAAATGCATAATTTGGTAAAAAGATAAAAAAGAAAATAATTTTTATATTGATTGCGTATATGAATGTATTCTTACTTCAAAGTATGACATAATCGTTACAAATAAATTAAATCAGTCCATATTACAAGTATTTCTTATTGCACCGACAACTTATAATTGTGTACTATTGAGAAATGTTAAGCAATCGCATTTAATAAAACACTTTTATAAAATTTTAATGAGTTTCCCACGTCAATTTACTCTTTGAAAACATTTAATGAGATATTCACTTACAGATGTCAACATAAACTGGATGAGTTCTAGAATTTTATGGCAATTATAACCAGTATATTCTTTCCAGCATTCGGCGTTTTTTTTTCTTTTTTTTACAGCGACACGCTCGCACGTGCACACAACTTTTCCAGCCAATGTTTTCTCCCTCGGGCAACTCTCTGTTCTTTTAGCTCTCCGTTTCGCTGGCTACTTCTCTTTGATGACTAACAGACTGCTGCCTCCCACTTTTTTCCTCCCTTTCTCTCTTTCATCTCGGTTGCTCTTTTTTACGACAGCTTTGAGCATAAATACACGTCGACAACACTTTGCGAGGAAAATAATATTCGCGGTAGATGGAAAGGAAGATTTGATTCTCAATAGGCATTAAGTAAACTAGAAGACGTGACGGAGGTAGACGGGAGAACGTGACTCTTTAAAAGGTCCTTTCTCTTTTTTCTCTCTCGCTCTCCACCTCGAAGGGATCGGGTTCTTGCGCTTGGCCCATTTTCTTTTCGGGTAGGGGAAAGCTTTGCTCGCTGCCCCATTGAACGCTGAAAGAGCCGAAAAAAGACGAGTCGCCACGCTCTACCCCTTCACCTCCCTTCTTCTTCCATTTACCCCGCCGCCAAATTGCTTTCACTGCTCCAGCAGCCTTTTGGGTGCTGATGTGGAATTGCCAGCGTGAATGCGTTACGTTGATTAAGATTCTGCTCGGACCAGCTGAATTTTCTTCAAGCGCAACCTAGTAAAAACTTAATACTCGACGTTTTTATTTACCTTTCATCGCTCATAAGTACTGTAAAATTTTCTTTACATGACTCAACTTTTAATTGCTTTTGAAAAGTATGTTTCATAAATATTTTTAAATGTGAAAAACATTTGCTCTCTATCTTATATATTTAAAAATACTTTTAATTTATAATTTAATCAGAAATATGTAGAAAATAAAATTTTTTGAATTATAATAAGAGTGAGTAAGTTTTAATAATAAATACAGCTTGTAATATCATTTTTTGTGCAAAAGATCTATTCATTTTTTAAATGAGTTCACTAGTATTCTCCATTACAGAGTATCAATTTATTGCAAACATTAACATATACTTCATGAAGCTTCATTGAAAGTCATTCTATGTGCTTTATCTAAACGCCAAATAAATCCTTAATTTATTTTGCAAAGCTCTATTAAGCTGTTTGTACAGACGAATTCAAGTAACAGCTACCTCAGCATTAAGTAATTCAATTAATTTGCGTTTTGCTTAAGATGGTGCTTACGTGTATTGGCTTGAAGTTTTTGCTTTCAACAAAAAAAAATCCTGTAATTGCGAGTATTGCAAATAGGCGCTTTTCATTTGAAAAAAGAGAAAAGAACTTTTCAAAGCCTAGTATCTTCGGGTTGAGGCCAAAACGGCAGATTCTATCTGAATTTTCTTTATTTCAAGCAAAAAGGAACTTGAGATACGGTATATAGTGTAACTGGTAAAGTTGTAGAAGCGAAATAAAAGAAAATGTAGACTAAGGAGAAGTCAAAGGTACTCGAATTTGATTACCTGTCCCTTTTACTACATAATGTCAAAAAGTTCAAAGGATTTACATACTTTTTTATTACAAACGAAAAAAGAATCCAATCATTCTTTGACGGATCTAGTTGCATGTAAAGCGAATCCATACCTCTTTCAATAGCGCTGAATTAGGCAAAAATGCTGAAATTGCAGTCAATCACATGGTTCAACTTACCATTTGCGTACAATTAATTATAAATAACAACTTACCAACGTTATCGGATAGATTGATTCCACAAAGAAAACAAAAAAGAAATCCAGCGAATTTCCACGCGCATAGACGCAATTCCATCTGGATATTGCACTGTCCGAGCATACATAGACGCACATATATAGTCATATACGTGCGGCTAGAGGCATGGTCAACAATTGGACATCGAGAGCAGTATAGCCCTAGAGCGCGCTTGCGGTTAATTAGACAGCTATGCTGTTAGCGTTGTCCCAGGCATTCCTGGATCTCGTGCGCTACAGCCCGTCGTCGCAATCATACCGTTGACGAAATACAACTCCGCCTCCCTCCTCCCGCCCCTTCCTCGAATAATCCCAATACATGGCTGTGTCGCTTGCGTTTCGCTTAGTAGAGCGCTGTTTGAATGTAAAACGGCTCTCTGACGTATATTTCCATTTCCGACCAGTTTGCTCTTCCGTTATCAGCCGATGAAAGTGGTACGTACAAGAGAATGAAATAATAATAGTGCCTCAATCGTTTTCCGTGATTGCTCCGTTGATTATTCAAAATTATGGATGAGAAAAACATCGTTGATAAGCGGACATTAAAGTAAATAAGGTTGTCCAGTGGCGTTTTAGATTCGAATTAAAAACGCAGCCCCCGCGCTTAGCCAATTTACATGGCACAACAAATAAGAAATCTAATTAGACGCCACACAGCGTGAACTAATTAAACGAAAGCTCGGGAAAACCTAAAGCTTTTCCCGGAAGATACGCTTCCGACTATAGAGTAGGGAAAGGTGGGTGTCTTGCGGTGGAAGCTAATTATGGTGAAGGAGTCGCGCATCCCCAACCTCAAAATTTACGGTACTAGCCACGTAAGTGTGCGGCATGTATAGCAAGCGAGAAAGGAAGGGGGATTTAGCATATACGTTGTTCGGTCTCATCAGACGCAAAGCACATTTGCATTACTAATCACCGCGATCGTTATCACCACGTGGCACTACTACTGACCGATTGCAGCACAGCTTGCGACGTTAGCTATTCCTAATCGTCAGATGCCATATTAGCCTCGACTAGCTTTGCTGTGTTTACGAATTCAAATGATCCCGGTTAAATGGACGGGTGGATCCACATTAATCGTTGTGATAAGAATTACGATTTTAGTAATTTAGATCGATATCCTGATTATTTGGGATTGAAAACATCGAATATGTAAATCATCAAACTAACGACGCAATCTCTTCCATTTATTAAATTTCATGAGCACTAAGTTGTTATATTAAATACCAACTCTGAAACCGATTATTACAAGTCCGTTTGTTATTGTCGCATACCATCTATATTGATTTACAGGTCAATTAATTCATGGAATAGATAATGATAAATAAAAAAATTGTGATTTCAGATTACGAAAAGACAGAGGCGGAGGCGCATGGTGTCCGAAGAACATGATCACGAAAGAGGGAAAGGAATATCTCGAGATAAACTTACGTAAGCCAAAAGTTCTTACGGAAACTCGCACTCAAGGTCGTTTCGGTAATGGCCATGGCGTTGAGTACACCGAAGAATACTACATCGAATACTGGCGGACTGGATTCACGGAATGGCGTCGCTGGAAAAATCGGCGTGGTATGGATGTAAGTGTCGAGTTCTTTTTGTTCACGGAATTCTAATCTTATTGTCGAATGTAATATTTATATATGTTAGTGGTCATGCCATTCAGTACCATGAACATAACTTTTAAAGTTTGCAGAGACTAATAAAGTCTATGAAAACTGCATGGCTCATCATGTCGTTCATACATTAAACTGCGAGTGCGCTTGTGCATTATAAACAAGTTCATAATTCGACGATCGACAGCCGCATGTGATTTATGATACGAGAGTTCAATGGCTCACAGCTCATTTATTATGCTATCAAATTAATCAATAGTATCGAGCAAAGCTGACTTTTCATTGCCACGCAAGGCTCATAGTCTTCTTCTTAGTCCGCAGTATTCGTCAGCAATATGATTTTCTCGCATTTGGTTAGCTCCATAGAAATTTTTAATAAAATAAATAACAAATATTCATATATTATTGTAGAGACTACGTGGAATATTCATTAATCAAATTTTTTTTTTTGCGTCTCCACAAATATTGATCTGTTCCACTATATCAATACCTAAGCCGCAACAATAACTATATAAACTCGGTTAGATCGGAGAAAACTCATCAACAGCATGAACACCCACAAGAATTATGTAGAACGACTGGTGATCGTAAAACAGAAAGGTATGATTTTTTAAGCAAGGGAAGGCTGTGTAGCTCACTAATTGCGGCGCTCAAATCGGCTCCTCATTTCGCATTCACATACGTATATAACTATATGTTTATATACGCCAGCAGCGGCTGCTACTGGCGTCAGTTCATATTAATCGTAAATCTGCGAGTATGCGACTCCCACGCGCGCTTGATTAAGCGAACGTAATGCGTCTCTGTCACCGAAAGACCAGTGTGCAACGCTTGACAAAGCGACGCTTGGCCCCGCTTGTAACATGTAGCTGCACAAGCGTCCCGCCTATCGATTTCGACTGATGACGATGATTTTCGCCATGGCTCAAACTCACCCTCCCCCCTCCTCTCTCTCTTTCTCTCTCTCTCTGTTCTCTACTATCCGTTACAACAATTGACGCACGCGCCGATTGCACTTGTTATTTTTTACTTGGCTCTTCCTTTTTTTCTACTGTTCATTTGATCACATATTTATGTTGATTGTTGGATGTCATTCCACGCGACTAAGCAAAAACGTAAATTAGCTGATGCATCGGTATTTGCTAATTTTTATTTAATTTTATCATTCTACATACGAAAAATTTGTTTAAGTTTCGTGCTATAAATAAAGCACAACATATAAATAGTGTTCTAAAACTTTTTCCGATTCGGAAGAGTTTTCATTGAATAATAGCTGTTTCGCCCGAACAATTCTGCCAAGTCAGTAGGAAATATTACGCGGAGGAGAAAACTATGAAATCTCGCAAAATAGAGAAGAGTTATAGCGAGATGAAGAGCAAGAAAGGCTTTTCTGCTCTTCATTATTCGAGCAATGCCTCCGAAGAAAAGGCGCTCTTGATATCCATGTGCCTTGAAAAGTGAATGGCACTGAGCCCGCAAAGACGTAGCTCCCATTTTCACGCAGATTTGCTCAAAGTGAGACCCCGAGAATCTTTGTGGAGCCTTGAAGAAAAGCCTTCAGACAGCATTCGCTCGACTAGAAAGCTCGCAAAAGTAAAGCTGACGAAATATAATAGAACGTTTGGAGCAAAACAAATGTGTCATTGATATTATAAGCTAGAAGAAAAATAATAAGGACAATGAATTAGCAGAAAAAAATGTTTCTTCGTTTTTAATACTAACAAAATCGTTGATCTTTTCTTTTCTTTTTTTTTTAAGAAAGACTCGCCGAAGTTATTGTGTAACATGCTGGAATTTTCTACGAGACGTTGGCGCGAAGAATAGAAGTCAAGAGTCCGGCCCTGGGGGCATGCGCGCATACATAACTACATCAAATATGCTGAATACTTTATTGTGCCATGTAAGTTCTAGCAGTGAAAACGCGTCAAAAATGAAATGAGAGAGAAACGAAGCTGAAGCTAACGAATACTGAAAGGCTATTGTTCGCTTACCTTAATTTTTTATAACGTACTTTTTTTTTTGAAATTTCAAGTCTCTACAGTGAATGAAGTCTCACGGGGATGAATTCTAGAAGCTTAGTAATATTAAATTATATAATTGTACAGTGTCATATTAGTAGGTGTATTAGAGGGATTTCGACGATATTCAGGTTAGAAAATAAAAGGCTAGTCCTCTTGTAAAATAAAGTAAATGAATTTATAACGAACATATCGACTTTACTAATGTTAGATTGATCTAAAGATTAAAGATTTAAGGATAAAATACATTAGTTTCTTCCAAGTATTACAATTCATATTTAATATTATAAATGGCGATATATTTATGCAATTAACTTAAAATGTTCTATTTTTAAAGAATAGCAAGAATTCAGAGCAGATTGTTTAAGTAAACAAATTAAAAAAATTTGGGGATAGTGGAATCGCAATGAAAGAGAAGGAAGGAGACCACTTCTGGATTGACGGCTTGGTATACGACAGAGCGAGGGAAATTCACGAGACGTGTATCAGCGGATTACGGATTACCGGGGAGCGCGAATGCGAGCGCGCTATTAGCGGATTACCGCAGTGGCGCGGAAACAATTTTCCACCGTCCGCCGTTTTTTCGTCCTCTCGCTCACGAGGCGCATACGCCCTGTGCCTTTTTCCATCCCCGAGGCAGATGATTTCCATCGTCATACTCGTACTGCTTCTTTTTTTTTGCAACCACCCATCATGTTATTTTTCTTTCTTTTTTTGCATTTCTCTTCGTGCATCTATCCGACCCCGTATACGAAGCTTTTTGAGCTCGGTGAGCTTTCATCAATATTCTCTCTACTGGAATGAGGGGTACCGAGGTAGTGGATTATATAGGCTGAGATTGACGTGTGATTGTCAACTTTTCAAAAATGTTCCATTTCTGGAATATGTTTACAGTATATTACAGCGATAAATCGTAATGTTTTATCGATATTTTCAGGAAGCTTTGTGAGATTATTCAGAATATTTTATTGGGCAGAAGCATTGTAAAATTATGAACGATTCAATGTTAACTTATATTTTTGTCACAAACGATCTGAAAATAATTTTAATCAAAACCTTATCATGATTGTAAATATCTGAAAAGACGGCCATTTGCTATCTTAAAATTTTAGCTTTTAATCTCAGAGTCAAAAATACGTTGAAATAGAAGTGATTCCCCTTGAAAATCACACTACTGTTTCCATGATAGCAAAATCTCATCATACATCCCAAGACATTTTCGCGCATACAGAGGCAACTTTGCTTAATCTAACGCTCAAATAGCGCTCGTCTCTCTTTTGCACACAGCATCTCCGTCATCTCACTTCTGCATTCCTTGCGCTTTCCGTCCTTGGGCGCGACGCTCTTTGTTTGCTCGTTTTGTGAGGCAACGGAAGGGGAGTCGCGTTCGTTCGACAGGAGGGCCACTCGTCTATGCTGCCTACTTAAAGGTGTGAGACGCTTACTAACGAACTCCAAATCCTCCTTTGTGGATGCTGACAGCGTACATGTATTCCCTCGAGGGATACCTAACGCCACAAACATCCAGCTTCTTGTATACTTCTTCGTTTCACAAAATACAACGTACACTTTAAAGCAATGGAATAAAGACAACCAATGATTAGATTATAACCTCGGAGTATAACATAATACCGAATGAGAGGCACAGTGTGATAAATAATAAGGTTTCCATCGAATTGTTTATCCAATTATTTTGAAACTGAATGCCTAGAATATCATCTTTATTGCCAGCGCCATTGTCTTAGAATTCAGTGGGCTCTTTGACTTTGCTTACGAATGCTTGAATATAATGGAATATTCTGAAGCTCCTTGCTTCCTGAAAGTGAGTCGTGCAAAGTGCGCACTTGCGAGGTGTTGAAATTAAATTGTTCTTCATTAGTAGGTACAAAGAGAGTCAGAGACCAATTTCGACCCGCAAACAGATGAGAGTTCCGGCAGCGCTCGCCTCTTATGTGTGCACAGGGTTAAATTATGCGCGCACGCAGAGTAATTGCGGTTGCAGAGCTGTTTACGGAAATGGTGCATACCGCGTCAGGCTTGCCAAGTGGATCAACTCAATTCGCAGTGCATCGTGTCCTCTTGTTTTCATCTTTTTGCTCATTAAATCATAAGAAAATCATTCCCGAGTAAATTATGTCATGCATAATATTAATTTTCAGGTATTTCTAATGTTTGTATTAAAATATTTTCCCCGTCACGATATCGAAAATCGGAATAGAAAACTTGTAAATGGAAAACATAATTTATCGGTTGACACTTGCGATGTGCATGGCAACAATAAGAATTTTTCGCTAAGGTGTCGACGCCAGTAAAGCAAATTCTTTCAAGAGCAAAGCAGAGCAACAGCAGATAGCAGCCAGTGTCCCGGATGTTTCCATGGGTTAGCGTGAGATGTGAGAAATTTCACTTGCTCGAAAAATCCTGCCGCAGAAAGAACGTCTGCGCGAGAGCGAGGCGAAGAACAAACTATGGTCTACCGATGCGCTTCTCCCTCCCCGTATACGAGTATACCGTGTTATTCTCTTTTGCGTTCTAGCAGCCTTTAACCTTGTTTTTTCTTTGGCACTTTTTATACGGTTACGTGTAAAACAATTATATGCTGCAAACGAAAGTCACATACAGTCAATTGGATTGATTTTTCTTCACTTGCTGAATGTAATACAAGAGAATAGACGTTTTTGAAGCTTATATTAATGTCAAAATATCAAAGTCGTCGATATGATATTTTAAAGATAAATTGAATTTTTTATTCAATACATAGCATTAATAAAATAAAAGATTAGCGGAAATTTGAAAAGCCAATGCTGCTTTGATTAACTAAACTTAAATTCGAACGTTCGTTCTCGGAATATATAATTAATCATTTCAATTCATTATCAATCCAAATATAAACGTTCATGCTCAATTGATGCAATCATTTTATACGTTTCCTCATTATAATTTAAAAAATAAATTAATCAGCTACGGCAAGACTCGCCGATAAAATCGGACGTGCATTTCCGGCAACGAACTGTGTGCGCGTGCGCGCGTGTGTATGTGTATGCTTGAAAGTAAAGTGGCACTCGGGGACGTTCGCGGGTGCGCAAACTTGAGCCTTATTGAATTTACACGGAGGCTAATTCGAAAATTGTTTGGCCCGCTTATGACATACGTTACTAGTAGGAGCGGGCCTCGGCGGCCTTATTTACGAGGATCGATGCGTTCTAGTCGACCCTTAGAAGCTGTCGACACGAGAAGCGAAATTACCTCTCGGCGTGGTGAACTTGTCGCCTATATAGCAACAGCACACACCGTGTACTGCGAATATTATGGCGCATTAGAGAGGGAGCCGAGGACCGGCTTGAATGGAAAGTCTGATCAGCTGCTTCGATAGTGTACTTGAAAATTATAGTTGATGATTTTAGAGCGAATTCGATTAAAGTTAAATTTAATTAGCGAGTAGATGATGAATGAACGTTTTATTTCCTTCTTGAATTCAGTCAACGTCTAAAAATTATTAAAGCAAGTATTAGATTATAAATAAAATTCAAATCTTCTGGAATGTCAATAATTCTATTATAAAAATATATCGATACTGTTCAACGATTATTTGCAGGTGATATCGAAAGAAAAGCTTTAAAAAAAGATATTAAACATCGATGATATAATAAAATATCAATAAGTGTGCTCAAACACAACATAAGAAGCATAATCTGTTCATGAGAAATATAGCACGAGAGAAAAGATAGCCAAGGTAAAGCCAAAATACCTGCTTACCTACCACAAGAACATCCAACGTGTGTGCGGGCGCGTCAGAGGTAACCATCCTTGTATACAGACGTATCGAAAACTATGTATACGTATAGGGATGCAGCGCGCGAACAGGAGGTGGAGAATACGAGCGCTCGTACAACCACGTAATACGAATAATTAATACGGCTATAAACAAGCTTCGGTCCAAGAGAGAAAGCTCCTGGCCAGGCGATACTATCATCCTGTATACCGACGCATAAAATTGATACACGCGCACACAGAGTCGCCTGCGCGACCTATCACGTTCGCGCCCAGCTAGCGCACGATGACCTCAAATTAGGATTACTCTACCACGTGAGAGCTTAGTCTCAAGTATAGCTCGCTTGTTACTTCTTGTGGCTTGAGTTTTATTCAATTCTGAATATAAGAATTTAATATAAGAACAATGCTTCCTAAATATCATCACTTCATTCTTAAGGTCAGGAATGTTATCCTTGAAATAAAGAAAAAAAACGTTCTTTTAGGAAATTGTTCTTTTTAAAATAAATAGGTGACTGTTTATACTGAAATTCAATTTGCTTTAGTTCAGAAATTTTTATGTATTTTATATAATTTAACCAAAATTACATCTCTCATCTCCTGCGTTTACTGTTTGCTTAATTTGAATTGCATAGCAGAAAAATCAAATTAAAGCAACGATAAATTTACAAAGAATTTCATATAAATTAATTACATGACAGAACTAATAAATATTATAGAGATAATAAAAATTGATATATTTTACTTTCAATCAAATATTTTACCAATGACCAAAAAAATTTAATTTGTTTGAATAACATCCTTCATGAACATTGAACGTTATTAGAATGTCCAAACGAGTTTTTATTAGATTGGATTAGAATGATTATCCTTTTAAGCTCAATAATAAATATGATGATAAGTATTGATATATGCCGTCATCTAAAATCAAATACATTGAGCAGCAACAAAAAAGATACGAAACCAGTAAAAATCTCTCTCGCGAGTGAGAGTGCACTTTGAAAAAAGATAGGAAGATTTACGTAAGCCATTCATGGAGACGTAGATTCAGATCCAGAGGGGGGGGGGGGGGGGCAAAGGATGAAAAAAAGCGAAGTCCGATAGAAAAAGCTTTGGGAGAGTGGCGCACTCTCTCTCTCTCTCTCTCTCTCGGAGAGGTGTGTAGATTTAACGCTCGAATTTGCATTTAGAGAACCTGCTCCGGTGCCATCGCGCGGCATCCCCAGAGCTAATCGGATTCAGGGAGAAAACGGGGTCGAGGATGCGCGAGGCGAGATTCTCCCTTCCTCTCTCTCTCGAGGCAATAAACACACGCTCCATTGGGTCTGGCGGCCAACCACCACTCGCGCCGCCTCGCGACCGCCAATTAGCGTAATTCGTTCGGCCACTGAATGTATTGTATACGTATTGTCTGCCGCTATTTCGCCATGCTTTTCTTGTTAGCGGTATGACATTTTAATATCTTTTTGGAGGGTATTTAACTTCCTTCATGAGAGCTATCAAAATTTCATCTGTCTTTATGGAATCTCCTATTTTGATCATTCCATTTAATGAAATTATAGTGATGAAGGAGGAAGTTGTATCCGTATAATTTGGAAAGGGTAATCATTCGTTACTGGTACTTCAATCAAAATGTTATTGGATCTGGAAAAAACCTGAAATAAAGATGTCTACGTATTTGTGGAATAGAATCACAAATATATAAAGCATTTTTGAAAATATTTCAAAATGTAGTCCATACAACCATAATTTGCCAAGAAAAATCTACCTTTGCTCGTAGATTTTCCACTTGTACGAACTCACGGCTATACGTTTTGATTGCAGTTGCTGGTAGGAAACGACAATCCACAGACGGAAAAGGAGCAGAGCTTCGATCCACCCATCGTGGCTACCAAAATCCGTTTCATCCCCTACACATCGCACATACGCATCGTCTGCATGCGGGTCGAACTTTACGGCTGTCCTTGGACTGGTAAGTGAAATTTACGATGTTGAATTCTTTTTGAGCCATTTCTTATGTCTCGCCTTCCATATCCTTTCAATATCTTTTTTTCTTCAGACTTCGACGACGACCCGATGCTTATACGCGTCTTGATACGGTAACATACGAACAGCAGGCTCTACGAGTCACCGAGTAATACGCGATTTACGAGATACATAACGGAAGGAAATAGAAACACACACTCACACACACACACACCTATATATATATATATATATATATTCGACATTTCGCCGAATCGTAAATTACTTCCTCTATTGTGTTTCATACCCTTCTTTCCTTTCCAGCTCAAAGCTGCTTTTTATGTGTTCAGGCCGATTTTTATTGCCTCGGATTTTCTTCCTCAAAGTGCATTTTTCCCTGGAAAATAAAGATTAAGACACAGCAAAAAAAGAAGCTACGGGCTATAAAAATACAAGTAGATATCTATCCGGATTTACTCTGGATAAATTAAAAAAAGCTCATTAATTTCGGGATTCGACGCTGCGTTATTCTCTGAATGAAAACTAATATTAGATCTTTGTAATACTCATATGAGTTATTGAACTACATATTTTTATTTTACTTAATTTAAAACTTTTGAAAAAGTATCCTCAATAAATTCTAATAGCTTTGTTTCTAACATTGAAAAATGTTAGAAATATTAGTTTTTATTTATATGAACTAACTATATGTTGTAATATCTCTTTTACTTTATAGAAGGTCTTGTCTCATATTCGATGCCTCAAGGTGTAGAGCGCGGCTCGGAGCTGGATCTCACGGATCGTACATACGATGGAGTTGAACAAGACGAATACCTTACTGGAGGTCTTGGCCAATTGACAGATGGTCAGAAAGGACCGGATAACTTTAGAGCAGACCTCAATAACAATGGTAAAGGTAAGTTAAGTACTTACTTCCTTCAAGTTCTCGAAACATCTTCATTATTAGATTTGGAATGAATTCGAAATAATATTCTAATTCAAGTAAATGTAATTTGAGAAAAGTGACAACTGTCTATTTTTAAAATTTATTTTGTAATTACAAACACTAACATCTTTCTCAATACAATTTTATTAAATTGACATATTTCAGAATTTATTGCAGCGACAAAAAAATGTTTTGAAAAAATAGACGATTATTATATCATGCAAAATATGAATGATGATGTGGATAAAAGTGGTCGTCTAATATTTCATCACGAATATATTAACTTTCACAAAAAAAAACCCGAACTCACTGAAGCTCTGCAAACTTCTCTCGATGTCTCGTATATGCGTGCATCTCCAAATTTTCATTCAGCTGCGAAATTTGCGTCGGCGATGTGCCTCGGATTTAGCAGACGCGATGCAAATTCGTATGGTCGAGTTGAAGAAATAGAGAGAAAGAAAAAGACACTGAGCACTTTTCAAATAAAAACGAAACGCGACGATACTGGAATCGTCAAGGAGGGTATAGAGAGAGGTAAAGAGAGCGGCAGGAAGAGAGCGAAGACTGTTACGAATGCAACGAGCAAACAGACTCGTTGCGCTTGGATCCGCTTCGATTTACATACATATTGAAGTCGAGCTGCTTATACTCTACTACTGTTGATACATTTCAGTGAGAGGTTGCACATGGCTGCACTGTGTGTACTTTTTATTAAAAAATAACATTTCTTATATAAATATTGCGGTTTTATTTTTCATTTCTAATATTATGGAGATTTATTATTCATCTTGATTTGAAGTTCCATATACTTTTAAAACTTAAATTGCTCATGAATAAAATGATAAATCACGGCTTTTCTATGAAGCTAAAAAAAAAAACTAAATGTTAAACTCGTGGTGAGGGTAACCGACGTATAAACAAACGGACTTTCGTAGACTCGATTGTCAGCGAATGTTTCGGTTTTGTTCGAAGAGGATGCTTTGAGAGGAACTGTATAGAGTTTAACGTCGTTTAATGCTTTTGTACTCGAGAAAATAGAGGATTGCAGTGGTTTCTGTGGAAGCAATTAAAAATCTCTTTGACAGCTTGTTACGTAACTCCAATTCAGTTGATTTTCTCCCAGAAACTATATTCGTGATTTGACTTTTTCAATTATTGCAATGATAAAATATTGAACAATTAAATGTTTTGTATACATAAAATACCTACATAATGTTTAGCATAATTAAGTTCTTATTAAACTTGGCATCGTAATTTATTCCAAATAAATTTTTATAACTGTTATATCAATTTATTTTCATAGGCTATGAATGGGTTGGTTGGAGAAATGACACGCCAAATATGCTAGGGCGACCCGTAGAAATCACTTTCGAGTTTGATTACACTCGAAACTTTACAGCAATGCACCTTCATACTAATAACTTTTTTAGTAGAGACGTTCAGGCAAGTATAAAAAAGTTATCATTAATCTACTTAAATTGAGTTTAAAATAAATACTTATTAATGCATTGCCTATTATGGTCAATATTTTCTCGAGACTAGTTATTAATACAAATTATTGTTAACTTCAGCTTCATTCAATGATGTCCATGGAAGTATAATTGAAATAATACTAACAGAGTTTTAATTAAATCATATACTTATAATTCAAGTTTACGTATAAGAGTTAAGTTCTCTTCTGTAGATTTTTACTGTATACTTTAACTTTATATTAGACTTTAACTTTATATCATTGGTAATAGTTTTAACAGTGGACAAATGAATAAATATATGAAGAGTAACTATTAGTGGTATGCTATGATTTTGGGCAACCATACTTACAAATTCGAGACGTCCAATTATTTAGTATTTTCGAATAATTTATGACTGTACACCTCTACAGAGAAAATAAAAAATAGAATATACCTTCATGAAGACCTGATTAATGAAAAACGATATTACAGGTGTTCAGCCACGCGAAAGTCTACTTTAGTAATGACAACACACAATTCAATGGCGAACCCGTGCACTTCTCATACGTTCCTGATCTTATGTTCGAGCAGGCTCGTAACGTCACCATAAAATTGCACTCACGATCTGGGAGATTCGTTAGGCTGCAACTTTACTTTGCAGCACGTTGGATTATGCTCAGTGAAGTTATCTTTGATTCAGGTAATGTCAGTTGCATAATTTTTTTATTTTTACTCGGCTGTAGCGCAGTACAGCTTGGATATAGAGACAGAAATTATAATTAACGTTGAAATGGATAAAATTCTGTTGCTGCGCTACTGTGTAAGTAATGTATCATGGTAATCCGTCACGCAATTTTTTCGAGTATATTCAACTTTGCATAGGGTTAGAAGCTAGTTAAAATTTACCCTTGTAAAACTATGAAAATTAAAACATTACTTTTTTTGGAAAAACATAATGACATAATTTCACCAACCTGTTTTTAAAAAATTTTTGATTTTTTTTGTAGTTGTCTCAGATTGGAATAACAGCACCGAGGAAGAAGATGTCAAGGTAAAAAATGTGACGACATTAACAACAGTGATTCCTTCCCATAACACGGAAGGGCCTTTTCAAAGAGATGAAGTACAAGCAACATTCAATAAGGACGACACAAATGTCAGCGTTTGTAAGTAAATTTCGATTTTTTCCTTGGTTACATTTTTTGACGATACGACTAATGATTTAGACTAAAGAATTATAACTTAATTTGTTTTATATCAATATTTTATTATGTTTAAAAATCGATCTACATTTAATTTCATCGCATATTTTATGAGCTATGCCCAACTGCCTACTTTAGTTCCAGATAAAAGTAAAGAACCAGAATCAAGACAGCTTATCGGTTTAGTAATTGGGATATTAACGACTGTTATCGTTATGCTTTTGGCTGCCATCGCTTTCATCTTTTATAGAAACCGAAGACTTAAAGCTGCTCTTTCACCAACGAATTTCTTCAACCAACAAGGTGAACTAAAGGTATATACAAAAACTAGTATTATATAACTTATAAATGATAAAACTTATAAAACTTTATCACGTATCAAGTTATTGTAGAAGATTCATTATACGTAACAATAGAATATTTAACAATATTTTTTCAAACTCTACGACATTAAATTAAATTAATTTCATATAAATGCATTAAAATCTTACATCTACAAATTATAATCTCAGCACAATTTATAATGCGATGTAAGTAAATATTGATAATATAGATAATTATCACTGAAAAATAAAAAAGGTTGATAACTCCCAAGTTACCCATTGCTGCTCCAAAGATTAAACAGTTCATTCTCTGCTTTTTCCATTTCAATCTAAACGCTTACAGTCGATTAAACACGAACTAGTTCTGTAAATAAATGATTCATTGCTTGTTTTTCTAGAGCTCCGGTACGTGCGCCAGTCACGTTTCTGTTTTTGGCGCTTCTTTCTCATTTTCCGTTCCAACCAACACTAGTGCTGTTATTTATTTATTGCCTTTCACTTCACAGAAAAAAGTAAGAATATAAGGGCTGAAGAAAACAACAAGAGATTAGAAATGCCAACATTAGTGCCGTTTATATAATCTACTTATTTAGTAATACATGTAATATCAGTTGTAAAAAACATCTATTCTTATGCTTGTTAAGTAATCATACTATTTTATAGTATCATTGAAATATTATGTTAGCTTTATAAATAACTTGATGGCAACATGCTATTCGGCCCTTTTTCAAGTTTCTCCACCATCCTATTTACTCTTGTTAGTGCTTGTATTTTGTTTTCGCTAATTTTCAAGGCAGCAGCTGGCAGCTACAATTAACGTCAAGAAGTTGAGACTGACGTAGCCACACAAATCGACGCTGTTAGTTTGAACTTCTTGAGTTTCCGTATACCTCCACATAAAAGCACAGTATGTGCTGTCAAAAGGTATCTGCCAAGAAAAACGAGTTTTATGATCGTAAATATTACTTTCTCTTTTAAATCATTGTGGACCTTTCAATGCCTTTCTTTCTTAGTGTAATCTTCAATATTATCAAAATCAACGAAAATATTTATTGTAATAACTTTACCAAATTAAAAAGATGCATATCAACTGCGCAAGATGCGTAAAAGCTAATCATCTGCAAGCTCATATACTACAATGTTTGATTTATAACCTTCTATATACTATTATCAGAACGAACTAAACATTATCGTTATCAACTGCAAAAATGTGGGTTACATCTTTATTCAATGGCTCGTTTTCTTCTTTTCATTCTTTACTCATTGTTCACCCGAATAAGTAATTCAGGGAGAAGAGTTTTTCAAGCCACTTAATCGGCTTTAATCTCTTAGGCGAGGCAAATAGCCAGAGAGAAGGAGTAGTTTACTCTCGGCCAAAGACGCGAAGTACAGTCGTTAAAGCTTTCCGCAAGATCATTATGGACGGATAGACCGAGTTCCTTCGGTCATTAACGTCATGATTTTAACCATCTAGTGAGTAGTAACAGAAGTTAAAGTGAAATTCAAGAATGTCTCAACAAAGCTTAAATAATTGAAAGTCTGAGGTTGAGAAAGAACTGAATTTTAAAGTAAATATCTTAAGTGATCATATTGAATTTTATTTCTTCTGAAATTATTTTTTTATGTGAAAGTCAATATTTATTACAGAAAAGCAAAAAGGAGTAAAGCTCGACCAACTCTTCTTTACCCTTATTAAGAATTGATAATTTTTTAGTTTCATTTTAACATACATTTTCAATACATAATTACATACTTCAAATCTGGAATATTTATGAAAAGTTGAGCAACGTACATATATAGTTACATCGACATAGATAAGAAAATAAAAATATATAAAAAAGGATCGATAAAATATGCATCAGTCATCAGACAAACCATTCTAAGAGCATCTCTGTCAGTTAAATTGGGGCCACTCGACGGCCTGAGTTGCCTTAGCTGTATACAGCAGTATCCCCTATCATCCCTTGGGAGAGCGTATGCGCGACTCTAGCATTAGCCACCTGCTACTTGTCTCGGGAGAAGACATTCCGGCGCGCGTGAGACCCCACTCCGACCGTCTTCAAACGATACCTCTTCGTCTTGAATCTCGCCTCCGACGATACAAAGGCGCAAAGCGTTTCGTTGCCGTGCGCGTTGCATTACCTGGGGATTCAAGAATAGAACCAGCGGTTACCTTGTTGTGCCTGTATAGTCGTTTTAGAATGATTTTTATATAAGATTTTTATGATCGTGGCAATTAATTAAGATATCGTAAAGTAGGAATGTTACAAATATTATCATTTTCAGTAGTATAAATTTAATACTGTCAGACATTGAAAGTCGAAACAACAAAAACAATATTAACGTTTTGAGTGAAAGAAATATTACGTTACTAATATTTGACTTTTTTCATCAATTATTTGTATAATTATTTGAAAATTTGCAAAGAACCAATATCACTCTATATATATCGAACAATAGAGCACATCTGCCGCGTGAATAATAAGTGGAAGCTAAAGAAATCAATAAACAGATTGTAACTATTTAATTGATTAAAGAATACTATTAGTGTCCATCAGTCACCTGTTTGCGAAAGAACTGATCATTAATCTCATATTCAAATATTGAAAGCAATGCCAATAATGCTCTAATTATTGTACAGACTACATTATAGCAATAGTCTTCGCTTATGCTCGACAACACTTACAAGTAAAGAGTAAAATATTCTAATTTTATTTCTTTAATTTTTATTTTAAATGAATATATAGGACAATATAGTAAACTTAAAGTAACCACTTTAATTTATTATTTCTCTAAAATAGATAACTCTCCCTAATAAATAACTAATAAATAATCAAGGTCATTTTAATAACATTTTTCACTATTTTTTAGCAGAATTTACCAGAATTTTAAAGAATTTCTTATCACTTTTACTTTTTACCGAATGCACCTCAACCTTTGTCCTCAAAGTATACGCAAGTGAAAAAGACTGACGGTCTAGATTATGGAAATTTGGAGTTCACGAGGAACAGTGCAAAAGCGCTCTCTGAATATGTAACATCAGTCCTTTAACGACACGACAGCGTGAATTGAATATCCGTTATGTCTTGTACTATACTGCAGTAATATCATTTTTGAATCGGCTAATTCTAGTTTCAACGTTCTAATTTTTTATTTTAATACAGGCTATATTAATTATTAAGCGGGCTTTATATATTACGAACAGCTGATATATTAAGAGTAGTTTTCTTAGATTTTATCGAAAGACTAAATCAAGTATTCAAGTTAAGATACATGCAAATATTTCAAAAATATAAAATACATTATGCATGAAACAATGATAATAATAGTAATAACATTCACTGGCGTCGAAGAAATTTTAATTGGATATTCCAAACTTACGAGTTCGCGTGTGTCCGGCATACAAATGAAATTGCATTCTCTCGCAGTAAGTCAAATATACGAGCAAGCGTGCAGAAGAGTAAACAAAACGAGAGTCAACGGCTATAGTTGAAATCAAATTGGCTACACATAGTAGTTGATAAATAGATCCCAAAGAGATTCAGTACACACACATATATATATATACGAAGTATAAAGACAAATGGTTATATAAACACTAATAGTAGCTAGCTCCAAGATGCGTTATCAACTGAGCGTACACACATACTAAAATATTCTAACGCACGCGCGGGTTCTCGTCTACACAGGTCTCAGTGGATGAAGGTTTCGCCGTGGGCAGTAGCGGCGTGGACAAGGGACCAATTTGCCCCCCACTTCCGTTGCAGTACCATCCAAGCGCTTACGCCACCACGACCACTCCGCAGCTTCACAAAACTACTGCCTCGGACTATGCTGGTACGTTATACGAGTATTACCAAGTACACTATAGTGGCTTGCCAGATAGCGACGCTGCTGTTTACATCCGGGAGTCAGTATTGTCGCTGCGGCTGCGTATTTGTTGTTGCTTGCTCTTGCGGGGACTACACCTCATTGTCCACGGAAACACGGTGATGCTAAGCTTAAATACTCATTTGACCGTGCAAGCTTTTATTCATTTTGGTGATCGGATCTTCTTTCGTGGATTTACATTCTTATTATTATCTTCGATGATCTCACGGAAAAAATTCAATATGGCTTTTGCGACTCTAGATGAAGAACCAAAGTCAACGTTAAATAATTAATCGACGTCCATGAATCCTTCTTATCTTATGCTTGTAAAATATTCACTGAAAGGGACTACGAAGAAAGAAAGCCAAGGGTCAAGTGAAATATCTTCGTTAAAATATTTACTCTGGGCAAATGCGGGAGAACAACTCACAGAATAGTTCCATTCGAAACTCTAACGAGCAAGTTTACTGTCCGCCCGCTCTTCTTTCTTTCTCATTGCGCATGGAGGCGGTGAGAGAGAGGGACGTGAGGTTTAGGCGTGAAATTCACACGCCAACTATTCCGTCGACTCGCACATACTGTGCTTTGGATGAAGGGCGGAGAGGAATAACGCGTTGCTACGTCGCACTCCGAATTTACATACCGTGAACCCACCTCCTGTACACTTTCCCCACAATGTATACATATACTACGCGATCACGTAGATATCGTTGAAATGATTAACAAGCAATCGATATAATTAATTAGATAGGTTATTGAATAATTAAGGTATTTCATCGGATTCTTCTAATTAGAGAGAAATGAATTTATTATAAAGTAATTTCATTTGCGAAAGCAGAATTTCATCCAGTTTTCAGGTCAACATTGTTATTTCGAGAATTTTTTACGCTTTAAATAAGTATTCATAGAATTACCATCTTGAAGTTTACAAAATAACTCTGTTATGAATTTAAATAATAATAAGCGTAATAAAAAATATAGTTTGCACTGCGTGAGGTAATTTGTTTCTTGCCAATTTTTTCGTTTCATATCTCTCACAAATTGTACTATTGAAGAATATTGAAATTAAATTTTATAGTAATTAATGATGATAGACGTAATTTATCAATAATAAACAAAACATAATTTAATACAACTGCTGACGCAGATAAAAAAACTTTTACATGTGTTTATTCTTGAACTAGTAGTAGAAGAACCAGAGAATCGTTCAGTCATTCCACTACTGCTCAACACGGCGATCAATCTAAGCCGACCGATTCCACCCGCAGCACTGGAGTATCCATCAGGCAAAGCACCGCCTATTCCGCCACCACCGGAAAAGTATTACGCCAGTTCGGAGATCGGCAAGGTGAGAAAAAAAATAAAAGAAGCGCCTTCGACATGCGAGAGTTCGCTACCTATGCAAATTTCTCGACCTTGTTAATCACAGGGGGTTCGTTAACCTTAATGCACGCTGTGGAAGGCTCTATTCTTTTCCTGTTGTGTTTACTTACACATCTACTGTTTCGTGGCTAAAATGACGATTTTATTTTCAGAATGTGAAGAATATTTTAAAGTTAATCTTGAAGGGTTTTATTATTAAAGTGTAAAAAATAATAGGTTTAGCTAAATATTCATCAAGTGCATTTTAATCGTATAACTTCATAGAATTTATGTTTTTTACTACAAATACGTAGTTTAATTGTTCGTCAATGGGTTAATGAATTAACTGTATAAAACAGAAACAGAACATAAGCTGTCTTTTAATTTCTGTGCAAATATTTGTGTACAAGCAAGCTTAATACGTTCGATTATAAGATTCAATTATTTTTATTTTAGAGCCCACCGCTGCCACCATTACCCGCATCGCCGAATCCGAGCTGCACACCGCCACCTCACAGTGGGAAAGCTTCCAGTAGTCTGAATAGTTATAGTCCTGAAGATATGATGACTGAGGACGATGATGATGCTGTTGCTGGACTACTTGATTGTATAATATTTGACTTTCCGCGAGAAAGGCTGAATATTGTTGAAAATTATGGATCTGGTTACTTTGGCGAAATACATATTTGTGAGATCGATCGATTTCCCGGTTACGATGAAGTTTTTAGAAATACCACTAGCGATCTTGTTGTTGTGAAGTCATTGAAACCGGGCTCATCGGAATTATTTAGGTAAGTGTTCTCGAATTAAATACAATTACTTGAATTAAATATAATAAAATATTATATAATATTTAATTTAATATATATAATAATAAATGAAATATAATAAAATGCTTATATTAAATATAAGCATGGAAATATAAATTACCAATCAAAGAGGGTAGCAATATGGTTGAAATATTATTAAAACCAAAGATTACCAGGAAGAGTAAAATAGGTTATATATCTTTTTGCTTATATAACTGACAAAACGTTAAAAATTCAATTTCTTTATCGTTTCAATTTTAAAAATATATCAACTTATTCAATTATAAAGTGACACTTGAAACGCAAGAATATTAAATTATATTATATTATTAACCATTAATAGAATGATAAAAAAAGGCATAACACTCGCAGAGATAAAGTACAGATATAGTCATAAATGCTTCAATTACCCTCCAGTTAATGAACTGCACTCTCGTTAAAACTTTCCACGATACTCAAGCGCTTTCTTCTTCCTACCTTTTGGATCCCAAGTGTTGTTTACACTCCACGACCGTCGAACTAAATGTCGCAGCAATTTTATCTGGGAAAGAAAGTTTGCTGTACCCGCGGCTACGATCGTTCTAAATTCACTTTGCTCCGATCGTTCTAAATTCACTTTGCTCCGATCGCGACGACAATTGCACGAGTTTTCTAAAGAATTTTTTCTTCGCATTCAATTTCACGCTAGATTAAATTTGCTTGACTAATTTTTAAAAAATTAAACGTTTTTTTAGATTAATTTAGATTAGCTTAGCAAATATTTTGTATATTGTATTTGTATTACAGGATAGAGTTTAGAAAAGAAGCCAAAAGACTGGCGCGCATCAACGATCGCAATGTCGTACGGCTGCTAGGCGCCAGCCTTGACAATGATCCCATGTGTGTCGTTTTGGAAAATTGTGAACTTGGAGATCTTAACCAGTACCTGCAAAGTCACGTCGCCGAGACAACTACCGTGCAGACAGCAAAAACATTGAGGTAAATAATTAATACAAGAATATGTGTTCATAGTCTTACTTGTACAAAGAGTCATTTCAATAAAATATACTATTTACCTTTAAAACAATAGTATTAATACGAAAAATTAAAAATAACATCATATTATTGAAAATAAAATGCCATGAAAAGTAAGAATCGATAAACTATTAGATAAATAAAGTTATAAAAAAATTACATTGAATCTTGGATCGCTATCTGATATTCTTGTCTATGATCATGTAAAGTACATTTACAGGAAAATTACACGGATAAAGAGACTGTACTTAAATTTAAATAGCGTAGTAAAAGTCTTGAAGCGAACGTACGTTAGGTACACTGGGAAATTGGAAATCGATTTGCTGTAAAACCTTTATGTAAATAATTACACATTTTGGTATATTTTCACTTGCATACAACTTTAACAACAATTAATACAAACTAATATTTGTAAGCCACGTAAATTCAGTAAGATCTACCATAAGATTGAAGTACTATCACATTGAAAGAATGGAATTACGTGACATACGGGTACAAATCCATACACGCACAAGCGTAATTACTCAAGATATTTATGGAGTGGAGTCACATACACGCACAGCCCGAATCACACAGCTCATATCTACTGTGCGCGCCCTAGCGAAACTGTTTGCTCTCATTGCGCAAACGCAACACCGGGAGGGAGAGACCGACTGTTACTACTACTGCCAGCAAACACGTGCACGCGACGAGTTTACACGGGTATATACTGCCAAGGTGGACTGTGGTTGGATGCAATATCGAGATTGACGAGCTGGCCCCCAAGCTTGACACGACTGCGGTTTTCTTTGTTTAGGATCGCTTTCTTTCCATACGCGAGCTCTAACGCAATCAGGCTTTAGTCGCGTACATGCTTGTCTAGTTGTCTCCGGCTACTGACCCAGATTTTCCATTATCTTATCAACAATTCAACGCATTCAATTCGATTGCGAACAGCGTCTATCGTGCTTTAATTTGCCTGTTTCAGTTTTGGTACTCTGATATACATGGCTACTCAAATAGCATCGGGCATGAAGCACCTCGAGGAAATAGACTTCGTGCATCGGGATCTCGCTACAAGGTAAGAAAGTTCACCAAAGCGTGCCTGACACGCGATTCACAAAGTGACGCCGACAGCTCGGGATTCCTTCCATGACTTTACCTGACTCGTTGGCGTCCTAAATTTACTCCACTAAGCCTGAGGGCTTGTTTTCCTTTTTATCTTGCCTCAAAATGTCATTGTGTATACCACCACATGTATACCACTAACTTTTACCAATATTTGCTTTATTCTATCAAAAGGTTAAAAAGACTCGTTTGCATAATTGTACACAGGTTTCTTTTTTTTTATTGGAATATCATGAAATCACGATAGAAAAAGAAATGAGAATTTTTGTTCGAAAAGCAAATATTTTGCGATTAATTAAATTCATTTAATGTAGCACCAACAATATCTATTATTTCAAAAGAAACTTTCAAGTAGTGTCTTGTTTTGAAATTTTTGACGTAATTATCTTTCCAACAATACACTCTGTTGAAAAAGCAGAATTCACAGACTAAGGTTGTTAACTATCTTAACTTATCTGCAAGTTGCAGCCTCGAAGGTGAGCTTTAAGCTCCGTTTTCCGGTCGAGCGAGGGAGATTAAAAGTTTTAACTAATTGATCGGAAAATAGAGCGACTTGTTATATAGCTTCCTTCTTCAATATCTACATCGAATGACGTGCAGTAATTATAACTACTCTGATCTAATGAGAAGATCGATGACAGTACTAAAATAATGAAGTGGATTAAATTGGGATGATTGATTATATAATCTGGCTTAGATTTTATTTTTATCAGCCATTGACTATTCAGTCAGAATTGTTATTAAACGATGCCGTACATCAATTATTATTCTTCAACAATTTAAACATTTTAATTATCCTTTTATCGTCATCTGTAATGGTTCTTTGAGAATTTATAACTACATGTATCTGGGTTATTTATCTTTTATAAAACTGAATCCTCAACAACTTTATGTTTTCAAACAGTTTCCAAGCGAATGCTAGTCGTTAGCATGGCACTGGCAACTGCAAATATGAGATAGTAGAGTTTGCAGTTGCAATAAATCAACCCCTGATGGTAATTCTCAAATACTTTAAAACTACGTGATTGAGAATTTTGTCATTTACGATAATGAAATATTAGAGATCAATAAATAGAATAATATTATCCCGTGATAAAAATAAATTAGTGAAACATCGATTGTTATAAAATACATCACAACGTCTGTGATTAATATCAGATATGTAGAAATAAATCTGATTTTGGAAAATATTTCAGAAACTGCCTCGTAAGCCAAGGACATTTCATAAAGATCTCGGACCTCGGGCCAGGTAGAAATGCATATTCGGCGGATTATTTCAAGATTGAAGGTCGATCAGCACTACCCATACGCTGGATGGCTTGGGAATCGTTACTTCTGGTAAATAGATAGACTATTTTTTATGACCTTTGTTATATGTACATTTCAATGATTTCCATTTGATACGTCCATTCGCAAAAAAAAAAAAAATTACTTTTCTATTGTTTGAACGTCCATCAAGTTAGTTTTTGTGAGTTTTACGAATGAACGGGTTGATTGCTCTTTCGTGCACTTTGATCGAGAGTTTGGTTTATAGTTCTGAAACAAGAGTGTACTGATTATTTTCAATTATTAATGTTACTGAAAAGCTGTTGTTCTACCTTTTTGCTTTAAAAATGAACATAATATTAATCACATTTCTCTTTCTATAGTATGATTTATTTACTGCTAAAATTATGCTTTCATACAAATTTCGACAAGAAAGGTAGAATTTCATATAGCTTTATCTTTTCTATAGATAAATGAAACTGTTAACCGTCAATAGATGCGATTTAACATAAGTTGTAGAATAAATATAGGTTGCTAGATGAAAATTTAATTAATTAAGTTTAATTTCTCAGACTTTCTATGAAGTTAACGGCTATAAGGCTGACATGCTTTTACATAAATAACAATGAACGAAGGTATTGTTTATTTCTTCTTTAATGGAAGATTCAATACAACATAGCTTTTCTTTATTATTTAAACAATTCCATCAAGTAAATATACAAATATCATTTAATAAAGTAGAAGAAATGTTATCTCGAAGATTCCACTCTTTGTATATAATACATATGAATTTTCTTACTTTTTTCAGGGAAATTATTCATCCAAAAGTGATGTTTGGGCATTTGCCGTGACATTATGGGAGATCCTTACATTTGCGCGTGAGCAGCCATTCGAAGAATTGCCCGACCACCGTATAGTTGAAAATGCAACTTATTTTTATCAGCAAGACGAGAGAAGGGTAATATTTTTTTATTTTTACACATTTCAAGCACTTTATCAACATTTTCCGCATTGTCTAACTAAAATCGTTCGATATACGTTTAACAGATAATCCTGCCACTGCCAAAGAACTGTCCAAAAGAAATCTACGACTTGATACGCGAGTGCTGGCAGCGCAACGAAACAAACAGGCCAAGCTTCCGTGAGATACATCTGTTTCTGCAACGTAAAAATCTGGGCTACAAGCCAGGCAGCGTTAATCAGCGCAATGATACTTGATACAAAGAACTCGAAGGCTGGAATTTGATCCGGCTTTCTATGATGGGCGAGCTCAATGGCAATTGGTGGGAGCCAAGTAATAATGAAACGCTCCGTTGAAAGAAAATAATGCGCGCCGAACGACACTAAGAAACAGAATAAAGAAATAAAAAAAATGGTGCTGACACATTAGCGACAGCAAAACAGCAGCAGCTCGACAATAACCGCGCGCTTCCCTACTCGATGTGTATATGAGATTACGTAGTTGTGTCCTCGAGTCGATGTTCGATAACGCGATCCTCTCAGACCCCTGATTTCTTCTACTTTCTTTCAGTCTCTCTCACCTTCTCTCACTGGCGAAGCCGCGATGTATTATACGTGCCATTGTGGATGTGTCACTCCTTTTCTTCTCTCCTGTTTCGTTGATAGTTTTGTGTTCATACTTTGCGGATTTGCAATGAAATATTAATTTTGTAATAATTTGACTACGCGTACGATCATTGTATGTAAATAAGCATAACGTCAATACGCTGTGAACTTAAAAAGAAAAAAATAATATAGATCGTCGACAAGAGTAAATTAGTTTAGTGAGGTCAAGTTAATTCATTGTGTTTTGTACAATATGATGTTATGCAAACTTATAGTTTGTATTTTAAGTTTTATTATTTGTGTTATTAGTTACGGTTAGTTCTATTCAGTTTTATACTATTTGATACGAATACAATACTACAATATTAATATGAACATACACCAAAAATAAAAAAAGTGGACGCAGCAATTATTGAACACTATTTATTGTTAGTTGGCATTTCCACCGCACGTTTGAAATATAACTCTGTTAACTACCTTATAAATTTATAAGATTGTACCCCATGTAAATGAATAAAGTTATGATAATAAACTGTATTCTCTTATTATACCATTTATTTTTCGTATAAGATCATTTATTTTGTGTTTTAAAATAAATCATTTATATCACGTCATTCGGACAAAATTGAGTACTTTGGTTTATACTTTATCTATCTCAACCAGGTGACTCAATGAATAGAATTGCTTCTCTTTTCTTTCCCTTATTTCATGCACAGACACTAAATATATATTTACCGCGCGGGGCGATATATTAAGATTATATAAAAATATACCAGGTGCATGGAGCAATATATTAAAATTCAGGAATGAGCCAAACAAACCTGCCGTGCGGAGCAATAAACCAACTCAGAATTAGGCAAATACGAAGAAAAACAAATTAAGGATTTGTTATCTGAGGTAAAACTTACTCGTTATTTTTCCTTAGTTAGAAACTATCTTTTCTTACAAACAGAGCTTTGCGCGTTCGGTCTTAACTATAGTTGGCTGGCAAAACGGACACACGTGGAAGAGAGAACTCCTGGGCCACGCGTTCGCGCTTTATATCCTTTGGGAGTAGTGAGTGAAAATCCCTTCTTTTAGGCCCTTGGTGCAGCTTCATTTTAGATGATGGGAATGGTGAAAAATTCCTTCTTTCAAAATTAGGAAACCTAATTGGCTAGAGGGCGTGAATTTTTCCGAAAAGCGAGGTCAGTTCTTTTTTAATTTGAACCTTTTCCTCCAGAGATGGCTCTCAACATATCGTTTCTGTAACAATAATGATACTATTGTATACAAATATTTCACGCAAAACGACTTATAAATTATTACTTAAAACTAATTACAGTTACTAATTACATTTGCTTATTTAGCTATAAATCAAAATTCACTTGCACATATTTTATTATAATTACTTATAACAAAATTTGCATTTAAAAGGAAGACCATTATCAAATGTATATGCGTCATTATAATCATAAGTTTTGACTTATATCGATACAAGCAATGATTATTTAATACTACTATTATTGAATACGTGGATACTTAAATTTATCTGGCGCGGCTGATATACATAATTTTTTTTGGATTCTGTTTATGTTAAATGCACAACTTCCATCTATTATTATCGATCAGGAAGGTATGTGTATTGTAAAACAAATTTATTGATGTCACAGATAAAATTTATTAGACATAAAAAATCTTCTTGAAATGAGGAGGAAGCTATTTATACATACAAAATAATAAAGAATTTTAATAAAATGTAATGTAACTGAGGCTTGATTGGTCTGTACAAGTGATTGTTCTTTATGAAACGGCGAATTTACTACGCGGCAAAAATCGAGAGCTCTCTTTTATTTTTACTTAACGATGCAATGCACACGGGCGAGAGAAGGTGCTCCAGTAAGTGTTACGCGGTGGCGATGTTTCGAACATCCCATGATCAGTACCTACGACCCTGGACTCGAGGGCAAGAGTGACCACCTCAGAGGACCATCATATCCTCAACTAGCAAGCTAGCTAGACTTCTTACATCGTCACACAGGTATAAATAAATATATTTATTATTAATATCAATAATGGAATAAGAGTATTCAGATTAAATGTAAATCAAATAATTAATCCTATTATACTTTCCTCTTTTTTTTTATAATTTTCTCTCGCCGTTTATTTTTCTAAATTTCGTTCATATACTTGTAAACATTGTATCGCAGAACTGTCTTTCTTTGTCGAAGAGGCTAACAAAAATCAAAGCAGTAACATACTTATGATCGTTCAAGCATTTAATAACTCTCTTTAAATGTTTGAGAGTAGGTCTGATGACAATTGATCGTGCAGTCATAAAATTTGAGTTGAAAGATTCTGAAAACATGCATAAATCGATAATCGATTACTACGCTGAAGTACGTGATAATTAGAAATATATCAGGTTATAACGTTGTCAGTTGCTATGGTTACGACTTGAAAAATTTTGTGCAGCCGTTGCGATTCATAATTTCATAAAATAATTCAGTAAAGTTATCCGGAACAAGTATGAAATCAAAACTTACAAAATTAATAATTAAAAATTAATCAATTTCATACATGACAGATATATTTAAATCAAATAATTTCATCATATTATTTTATCTCCATACTTTTTTATCCTCCGTAATTATTTTATTGTTATGTTGATCATAAAATTATAGTTCAATTCATGCATTATGTCAGAATCAACGAACTGGAAAATGAAAATATAAGATATATAGTGTAACATTTTATTCACTCAACTGTAAACGCAGTTTGAGTTTAAATGCAAATAAAGGTAAGTAAAACAATGATTGAAGCATGACATAGCTGCAGGTATGCATACACCGGCCTTTTTCCTGGTAAGGTCAGCAAGTTCTCATAATTACCGTAGCAGATCGTGTACGTTCCTATACTAACATCACGAGTTGCAATGAGCTGGGATACACATACACGATTGCACAGCTAGCTTATAATTGCACACGTGTGCGCCGAAATCTGCAATTTAGCTGTGCAAACATACACGCTACGTTGAAAACAACTGAGCCAACGTTCATTGGAAATATAAGAATACAACACAACGCAGCTGCAGGTAGGTCACTCGTGTATTTTATTGGCAATACGTCGAATAAATGGAGACTCATTTCAAACGACCCTAGTCGTAAAAATGACAAAGTTGCACTGACCCTATTGCATGCGACTACCACTGATGTATACTACTGAAGACTTGTCGGATGTTCGCGTGTGAAGTACTATTTTACGTTAGCGACATATATGCATGCTATAAAATTGTGTTGGATCAAATTACATGGTAAAATTAGAATAATTTTTGAATTTTTAGTGTCGAGAAATTTCATTTTTTGTAAAAACATGAAAATACAAAATCACTTCAACGCGATTCCGTGTGTAGGTGTGTCTACTTTTTACGGGATACAATGCTGTATAATATTTCTCTGTATTGTATGATACTATCTGTAATTAACAGATACAAGGAACTCATTAATTGCATACAAATTAAGTTGTCATGAATTACTTTTGTATCTATGAAAGATTTTTATGAAAATTTTAAATATTAAAAAAGACCAAATGAGTCAGAGATTAAATTATTTTCGAAATATATTACATTGTTATGTCACCGCAAGATGTAACTAGTACTCGATCATTGATGTTACTTACTCTGAGCGAAATGAAAACTAGAGCATTCCAATAGAATTATTATAGCAGCTTTACGATTTCATTTGAGTTTTTTTTAATGTTTTATTAGCTATAAATTTTTATGCGTATAAATTTTTGTAAAATCTCAAGCCGTTTATATAGTCAGATTGAATCTCTATTATTGAATCTCAATATTGAATCTCAATATTGAATCTCAATTTATCAAAGAATATATTTAATCAACTAGTTAAACGATTCTGCCACTCACAAATGTTGATACGCTGTTTATGGAATATCGTCTATAAATGCGAATAAGAAAAACTTTTAGATGTTAAATGCTTAATTTGGAGTCCTATTTATCAAATCTTGAGTTAATTAGAAATTTATTTATCATTTCCGAAATTAAAAACAAAACATAGATTTAAATAAACTAGAATTTAATAACATCAGATTGTTGTCAAGTTACTCGCTCATAGCAGGAAGGAGAAACGATAGCCTAGACTTGGAAATATTGATCGAGCAATTATTCTCTGGAGTGTTACGGCAAGCATGAACGTGAAATAGATTGAACTGGTGACATGTGAAAGTCTAACACAAATACCGTGATCATAATACAAAAATTCGTAGAGCGCTATGCAACTTTTACTAAAATTGTATTGTTGATTAATGTAAATATTGATACATTTAAAAAAAGTAATGTAATTGAATTGAAGGTTACCGTTGCTCTATAATGACTGGCGTCACTATAATGCGATTTTAAATTTATAATATCGTAAAACATTGCATCACGAAATACGAATGAATTCAAAAATCAATCAGCTAGATTTTTCTCATAAAGTAAAAACAAACAATTGGCTTATATTTTCATTGGGATTCCATCCGTATACATAAAAAAATCTACTTATATTTGTTTGTTTAATTAACTCGGAGCAGTTTTCAATTTTCCTCAGCCATTACATTTTTTTCCCAATTATCTTTAATAAATAGTTTTCTTACGGTAACAGGATAATATTTAACACTGCAAATGTACTTGGAAAACAGATGAAATCGCGTGCTGGGTATTGGAAAACGATTCGGGACCCTTGAGACAAAAAGGCGGTTGTGCAGTGCGTCATGACATTTTCTATCTCGATATCTTTTGATTTTCCAAGACGGCTGCGCAACCATAGGTGCGCTATACGATATATATATATGAATTTCTCAGTATTGCACTGCCTGCTCTTATGGTATGCAGTGTTGTAGCAAATATCGTTTACACTTTTGTTTTGATTGCACGTTGAGTAGTTTATCATCAAGTTAAGTAAAACGCCCTACGCACACATTTCAAAGAATACTGAATTTACATATCTATTGAAAAAGGCTCTCTATCATTAGCTGGTATTTGTATAAACTAACCATACATTTCAGTACGCCACGAAACTCGTATAAAACCACAATCAGCCTAGACATTTCCTTCTGTATTCCACTAATTGTAATAGTTCATTGGCGAGCATCCAGTTTGGAGTCCATTTAGCCACCATGAATGTAAATCATTAATCTGCTCAAAATTCCTTTCTAATTCTTGTGTTGAATCAAAATTTGTACGTTTAATTGAATGAAGAAATAATATTCTATAAATTGAGTTGCAACATAATCACAAATGTGGTTTTTATCAAGAAAGAAGTAAATTTAGATTTTAATATTATTTAAAATTAGAGATATTAATATTAAGCCTTGTAATAATGATCTGTTTGCAATTGATTCAAAATACTCAATAGCAGTTTATTTCAATCAGTATTTAAAATTTTCTTTGGAATAATTTCTACATTGACGACTGCATTAGCGTGAATTTTTAGCAAAATGACACTGACGCAGCGTGGAGACTTGGTTGTTTTAAA